TGATCGTTTACATAAAAGGTCCGTACTTAGCTTTAGCATTGAAATAAGCAAAATTAAGCTTGGAAACCTTGAATACGTAAAATAAGCAATTCCAAGCAAAAGCTTAAACTTTTCGGCCTTGGTCATAACAATAACAATTACAATCAGGGACGTGAACCGGTTTTGAACCGAACCGGTTTTGAACCGGAAAACCGCTCTTTTCTATTAATTAACTGAACCATTAACCGAACCGAAATTTTTCACAAATGTTTGATCCGAACCGAAAACCGAACCACTTTCTATAAAGATTGAAAGGTTCGTCTCAACCAATTTTCAATAGATAAATGTACTCACTTTTTTTTCTTTTTGGTAAACATGGTAATACCCATCATGTTTGTTTACCATGTGACAATATCAAATGTAAAGGCAACCCATCTCATACCCTTAACCTTGCGCGTTGTTGCACTTGACACTTGACACTTAAACTTGCGCGTAATTTTTTTGTTTTTCGAACCGTTGAACCGAACCGAAACCCCGGTTCAAAGACCAAAAAAACCGCTTTGGCGAACCAATCCAAAAGTGCAAAAACGGTTCGAACCGCTGAACCGAACCGAACAAATTTTTCATCCGGTTCACGTCCCTGATTACAATTGTCACCATTAGAGCGCTTAAAAAAAAATTGCGGCATAGTATTAGACGCAGTAGTAACGACAGCCGTTGAGTTTTGTCATAACTTCTTCATTAATGCAGCTAGGAACATCAAAATTCGCACCGTTTTCACTCATTATTAACAGAATAATTACAGTGAAAATAACAAAGATCGGGTCACTATAACATATATCTCCCATACAACTGATTGTTCAGTTATGAGAATTTTTGTTATAACTCCTCCATTTATGCACCTAGGAACATAAAATTTTGCAATACTTCCACCCGTGAACAACAGAATATACAATGAAAATAACAAAGATCGGGTCACTTTTACATATAGCTCCCATACAACTGATTATCCAGATATGGGGTTTTACTGTAAAACTCCTTTATTTGGACAGCTAAAACCGATAAATTTCTTAAGATATTTTATAAACAATAATACAAAGTCTACTGAGAAAATCGTCAACATTTATGCTATATGAGCTTTATCTCTTTTACCACTGAATGTTCAGATACCAGTTTTTGCGATATGTCTCCTTTATGTAGGAAGCTAAACCCATTAAATTGTGTTACCGGTTTACGTACCGATCACACAGCAGTGAAAATTACTTAGATTGGTGCTATATAAGGTATATCTTGCATACCTCTGATTGTTTAGATATGATTTTTTACACATGTATCTCCTCTATCTATGTATGATGTGAATATATAAATTTTTTCAAATGCAGTAATCTGTTAAAGTAAAATTTTCAGATACTCATGAAAGGTATGAAGCCTTCGGCATAGCCGAAGACAGCGCTGCTCTTACTTGTTTTAAATTAATATTTATAAAATTACATCTACATTTCTCATCCGATTTTCATTATCTTCCACTCAAAATTTACTATAATGACATACCCTGGCAATCAAAAGTTAGTGCATGTCCAGTACGGAGAGAATCTAGTTTAAATATCGATGTTCAACTAGTTTTTTACACACCACAACTAGTTGAAGATCTGGCGTTCTTCCTTGTAACGAACTGTTGACTTTAACACGGCGATGTCCTAGGTATAAGTCAATTATTCGACTCTGCATTTGATTTCAACTACTTTAAAATACATTTAACTTAACGCACTTTGAAGTCAATCGTTTAATTATGCTTTCGTTCTGCACTTTACAGATGCTTTTTTATAATTAAGAAAAGCCGAAACTAAAAATTTAAAATTAAATGTTTCGCCTAGTTAGATTTGAACATGGACATTCTTGGCTGCGACCAATTGTAGCAAATGTGCTTTCAAATGGTCAGTGCAAGCAACAAGTCGATTGTCCGACTCTGCTTTTGATTTCAATGAGAAGTAAAACCAAGTACTTTTCAAATAATAAAGTAAAAAAATATCACGTTTAATGTATTTGTCAGTAATGACCACATGTTATAAAAAATAAGCTTATTTTGTTGCTTGTGTGAACAACTTTAGCTTTATTTTTTGTAGTTACGTGAGCGATCTTCGGGTGAAATTTCACCCACTTTCATAAAGATAACATAATATTCGCGATATATATTTTTACAGGTTGTTTAAAATAAAACATAATAAATGTCTTTCACAATAAACTTGATATGAACAAAAATTTATTGCGATTTATGTTACTTTGTTTGATGAAAATATATATACATAAATTTGAGGTTAGTTGCTGGATAAGTAGAAATAAACTAATTTGACTGAGGTAATTGGTTGAGCTACTCCGTACTGGGTGGTGTTTCCTTTTTAATATTTGCAATTATTTTCAAGTTAATTTTTTTTTGTTATTTTCCTATAAAAATATGGTTCATGCTTTAATCGAAACCACGCACTTTATACAGAACTTAGAAAAAATCAACAAATTTTCGTCTAAATTTTGAACCTTTTAATCAGAATTTTTAGAAAAATTTTGAGTACGCTATCTGCTTTATCGGTTTCTTTAATTCTATTAAATCATTTGGCTCATTCCACTGTGACGGGTGTGACATTTCAACTCACATTTTAAGGCTTAATTCTTAAACTGTAATACAAAATTCTTTAAAACGAGTATTTTGTAATAGGTTTCCGAGATATACACAATGCCTAGAATAAAAATTTCAAAAACAATTTAATCCGAACGAGTTATCTTAATTTTAGCCACTGTGACGGGTGTGACGAGTACGCAAACCAAATTAGCTACTCCTTACTTGCATCAGAGTTTTTCTGCTAATTATGTCTTCTGCTTATGGTTTTAAATAGTTCGTTGTATAGTTAAATAAACATTCTCAACATTTATGCCAAAGTTGCTTACCGCTATTGGAAATTATAGATTATATGTTCCAAATTCAACTGTGACGGGTGTGACTTGACTTTGTGACGGGTGTGACAAGTTGAGCAAGAATACATAAATACACATTATTAGACAACTAAGCTAACTTTATTCCTCAAAAAATCGGATTTTACGAACACATACAAGATTCTGCCACCTAAAGACGGGATAATCCTTGATCGGACTCTTCTTCTCCATTGTATGCCTTAGTAATTGTAAAGTACCTTATTTTTAAATATGTAGTATGAGCCTATTACCTGTCAAACCGAGGCCGTTACCTGTAAAAACCGTTTTAGATACTTTTTTTGCTGGCACGCGAAGTAATGGTTTATTTTTATCCGTGACAGCATAGCTTAAGTTTTCCCATCGCTCGAGCAACATATCTTTATGATTAGCTTTATCATCGCTGATCACAAACAGATATATGACACATTTCAGATTAGCAGATAAGTAACGGTGGCAGTCCCTGACCGAATTTATTGAAGTTTGTCAAACTTTAAATTGTGACGGGTGTGACATGTGACGGGCGTGACCAACATAATCGGTTCATTTTTCGAAAATAAAAGCATATAAATACTTAAAAGCAATTCGCACATATTTCCTTGTGTCATAGCGTTACTTTCGTCTGCTTTTTTACACTGTCCAAGATGTGTTTTCCTTCACAAAATAACTATTTTGTGTATTTTGTGACGGGCGTGACATTAAAATATGCTTTTAGTACTTGCCCGAAAAATTTGAAAATTACGCCGTTACAATGGTAATGAATTATTCTATCCACTGACGGCTTAAACAATGCAAAAAGGTAATAGACTACGAAAATCAGTCTTGTAAATTTAGAAAAAAATTAACCTCTCATATGGGTTTATAATGGTACAACCTAAAGTAAAAAAATATCTGATTTTGAGATAAATTTTAGAATTTTGGCTTTCAGTCTTGAAAGTTAGATTTATTTACTCTTACTTACTAGAAATAATACAGTCACATTCTTTAGTTTATTTCCGTTTCATTCGGTATCGATTACCGTGGAATGAGCCATTTGAAAATTTTCAGCGGCTAAAAAATCTCATTGATTTTTTGATGAATTTTTTCCGACTGATTTTGCGGTGTGTGAACATGCATGTAACAAATACAATTTATAAAATATAGCGCTAATTTTTTTAATTTAGCTTGCAAACGGTCTTGCAGTAAAAAAAATCAACAAAAATCAACGCGTCTAGGTATATACATACATATGTATGTATAAATTAGACTAAATTGTACGACTCGACAACACTGGCATTGCCTGCTGTCGTGCCAAGTTTTTCCGTTTTAATACACTAGTCGAGTGGAAATTTTAGGCAATGACGTGAACTGGACGACACGACTGGCAGTGAGGGTGATAATCTCATTATTCCTTATCGCGCGAATTTATTTAGTACTTGCAGCTTGAAATCAGGTCATATCGCCAGCGGTTATGTGTATCTTTGGCATTCCAGAAAAGTATTACGTTCGTCATTCGAAGCTCGATTCCTCAAGCCCTTTCTATAAACCTCTATAAACAACGATAACTATGACTACTACGAGTTTGATTGGGAATATAACATCATCCCCCGGCTTTAGAGAGATTAAAGAAATAATAGTTGAACTATAGAGTGGACCTACACAAGAATACTTAAGAGCATAAAATATGGAGCAAAAAAGAAGAATCAGTTGAAAACATTTGAGGGATTCATAACGGTGTCCTAAATGTCGCATTGTTGTATGTCGTAACCTTAAAAAGCTTAAATAAATGCTTAGAGAACTTAAAATCACAACCAACTATTTTTTAACACTGCGACAATGCATAATATCACTTTGTTGGTACTTTGCGAGCCCCCTTAATATATTTTTTACGCGTTTAAAGTTTACGACATACAACAATACGACACTTAGTACACCGTTGTGAATACCCTAATTATGATTATAATCTTTTTACAGCGAAAGTTCAAACAAAGTAATCGTGCTTTTGAAGGCAGTATGTTTAATACTCTAAAAACTAAAACAAAATCTTAATACTTCGAAACGAAGCTTAATATAAAACTTACCTTTGGACAATTTTCACATGGATATTTTCGAATATCGTTATGTACTAAGGCGCGATGCTTCAGCAATAAAGGACGATGACAAAATGGTTTGCTACACAATTCGCAAGCGAAATCGTCTTTTCGAAATGAATGTTTGGCTACCAAATGATGATCCAAACTGAAAAGAAAAATTGTACAAGACATATAATTAAAAAGCAGAAAAGAAACAAGCAAAAGATTAGAAGATACTGGAGAGCAGCTACCTTAACTTAAAGCATAATATCCTTTTTAAGAAAACTGAAAAGTTCCTTTATTATTATTATTATTATGGGCCATATCTATTGTGCGCGGCCGTTTATTCTACAAGAACTCTTATAATTATCATTTGAATCAAAACAAGATTTACATATGTTAAAAATCTTAAGAGATGAAGATTCCAAATGATATATTTCACATGCTAGTTTCGCTTCAAAATGAAGTAACAATTTAGTACAACATTCAATTGTCCAATCGAGTATTTTAATAAAACAAACCTAATGAGTAATAAAATTATAGTTAAAAAAAAACAACAACATGTTTTTATTACAATAAGAACTAAAAAGAAAAAAATTATTTATTGATTTAAAGATTCGTTAAATAAGGATATGAAGTCCCCTAACTTGATGTTATTTAACCTTTTAAACTAGCTGAAAATAGGATTTAAGTAATTGGCACGTAGTCATAGTCTAAATAAAGTCCACTGAAAAGTTAGTTGCAGTTATTTTTTACAGCCATCCCATTGGAAACATACAGCATCCCATTGGTAGAGGGCTTCGGGTGTACGAATTTGTTGTAACATCAGGGGTTGAAGACTTGCTCTAGCTGCTAGTCTCTTAAAATTTCCTCCAATCACGTCGTAAGCAGATTTCCCATGTGAACTTGCAACAAAGTTCAATTCTGCCATTTCCTTGAAGGGCTTTTCATGATTTGAGACCTTTTAGTAAAGTTAATATCATTTATTCATATTGTTTTTGTTTTTTACACACCTTTCCCCTTTCAAAAATATACCATTTCATAAAAATTCAATGTCTATTTATCGTATTGCTCGAGCGTTAGACGATCGCGAGTCAACGCATAAGTAGCCCATTAAAGTTGACATTATAGAGAATGTTTTTATGTAAAAATAAAAACTTTTAAAAATGCTATAATCAAAAAAAATTCAAAAAGAAAAATGCTTACTTAATTTTTTTTGTTTTTTATACGTTGCACATTAAAGTAAAAGATGTACAATTAAAGCTCGTAATAAGACGGAAGAAATACATTTTTTATCATTAAGTTTCGTTACAAGGTTTCCAACATGATTCAATAATACAAGGTTAGATAATTATTGACAGCCGCGAATTGACACTCCCTTACAAAAGGTTGCATTTACGAAGGACAGAGAAAGGAGAAGAAAGCAATCCCTTGTTGCGAAAATGGTAGTAGATAAGTACGCAAAGTAGGCAATTAGTAGTGAAATTCCTTTTGTAAATTCTAATGTATTTGCAGGAAATCTGGCATTTTAAACGAAATATTAATATATCTACGTGAATTACGTAATTTATGTGCTATTTAGCTATATAAAAACTATAAATGGACTCAAAATTAAAATAAATCTACTATGAGATTTATGTAAACATCCAATTTGAAAAGAACTTATGTTTTCATCAGTTAAATGTGCTTAATACGCATATACAAATAAACAAATGGCACAAAAGCTTATACCTCTATTTCACAGCAAAGCTACACTTTTCCAAGTAAATTTGCAAAGAAGCAACACCGTGCCACTGCTAAGGGAGCGGTGCGAGAGAGACAACTCTCAGTTTATCGAACCTTGTATTATTGAATCATGGGTTTCCAAGATACAGTACTTTAATGAAAGGTATGACGTTTCCTTAAAATTTAAGTCCCGTGTAAATAGGCAACCCTTCGTCATATGGGCAAAATATGCTGCACGTATATTCATGTCACCTAGACCTTCAATCTCTTCAACTTTCATCCAAATGCTGAGGGGTCGCGCACAGAGGTGGCCGCGGTGACATGAAATGCCTCAAAAGTACTATAAAATCTTAGAAAATGTTGGCAACCCCAGTGCCTGCTGAGCACCTCTTTCAAAAGCTGGTGCTACAGCCACCGAGAAACGCAATCGCTTAACAACAAAACGCTTATCAGAACTTTAGTTTTTGCAACTTGGTTAAATAATAAATAATAATCGCCGCTAAAAGCACTCGTTTTGACAAGAGAATTTGAAATTTTTTATGGAGAAGTATTTTTGTGAATATTGATTGTAAAAAGTGCCTTTAAAAATTCGATTAACCGGTTAATATTTTTTTTTGGGTTGTGATTAGTCATATGATAAATTAATCGATTATTTTTTCCAATCCCTAAGTTTAAGTGCGACGTTTGGGAATTCTAAGTATTTTAGTAATATCGAGCACTAACCGCAAAAACGACGTAAGCAACATTTTTTTTTTTAAATTTTCCCTTTGGTGCAGGAATGTGCCTAAAGTATCTAGAAGCATTTAGGTATCAAAAATAAATAAATTAAAAAAAAATGCCGCTTACATGTTTTTGGAACTCCCAAGCACAGAAGAACGCATCAGAGGTCGCCATCTTTCATATCCACTGTGGTGTTTGATTCATCGAGGTTTGGAAATAATACTTAGACTAAAAGGCGAATAATGAATCTTATGGACTCTAAATATGATATTCGTTATCACTCTCAAATGAAATGGCGCCAAAACCGCTCTTCGTATCGACCGTGTAGTTCTAATATCTGTGGACATTTGACAAAAGAACTTAAGTCTATCTTTCACAGACAAAGAAAATAGCATATGTCGGCAAAACTCTTTTCACCGTCAGAGCAATCAATTATATTTAAATTAAAAAATGCAGTCGTTGCAAACAGAAACATTTTCAAAGCTTGTGAATAGCGATAAAATAATTTAACATTTCTTTCGAATTGCAACATTTTTCTCTTGGACGGTAAAATATGTTTTGTCGACATATGCTATTTTGTATGTCCGTGAAAGACAGACTTAAGTTGATTTGTCAAATGTCCCTAGATATGTACTACGTGTTACTATCTCCGGCCGCCCCCTCCCCTACACCTGGTAAATATTCACAAAACACCCTTCTCACATCTGCGATCATAGTTACATGCGCACCTATAAAACTAAGTTTTTGCTAGGCCCGTGGCCAGCTTTTTTTATCGGAGGGAGCTGAACAACAAAAACAAATTGTATGTAGTACATATACATAAATATAATATTTGTTGTATGAAAAATTAGGATCATGAAAGATATACTTATGTCAATAAATATACAACTTTAGATTGAAAAAAACCTTCAGCCTTTCTTTATGCGAATGGCCATCTTGAAGTCAGTCAGCATAGAAAAATATGCTACAGATGTTTACCCCATCTACCTCACCAATTTTGTTAGGTGGAGTGATATTCGTAAGAATAATTTAATAATTCTAAGCATATTTTGAATTACGTAAAAACTGACAGAAAAGAAATCGGAGTTCTATTCTTTACTTCGCAACAATTATATGAGAGCAAAACAAAAACTTAAATAACTTTGACTTAAATTGTATCTGTTCAGCTTCTGCGATATATTGAATCTACTTTGAAATAGGGCGTGTTTGAACCATTTGCTGAGATAGGGTGTTCTTCAAACCCAAATCTGAAGTTAGGCGATTTTGAAAAATTTGCTGATATAAGGCATTTTCGAACCGGCTGCTGAGATAGGTCGATCTTGCACCCGGCCGTCGATATGTATATTCTGAGTTTGGGGCAAATCGGACCATAAATTAGATATTTTCAGGATAGCTGGACCACTGCGTCACCAATCAGAAAAATTAAAACTGTTCCTTCTAAACACCTTTCCAACAAAACTACAACCATTTAAAGAGATAGAGTATATGTATTCGATTAAGAATGCCCATCATTTGGCTTTCCCTGATTCCATATATACACATTTTATCTTGCCTTTTTTAAGATATTTGCCTTTTTTGGCTTTTCTACCTTTAATTGTAAAAGGCACGGAAAAAGCCCTTGTTCTAGATAATGTGAAAGTTTTAAACGTTCCATATTTAATTGGGCTCCACGTCGAGAGCACGTTTAGTACATTCAAGGCTTTTATACGCGAAAATCGAACGAAAATTCTGCCATAAAACCTCAAAATGCATCTTGTGGTTCAATGTTACTACAATTATAGAGATTAAAGTTTTGTGAAATAAAAACTGGAAAGAAAAAATTAGTCAAAGATTTAAAGTAAAAATTTTTCATATAATGAAACTAGTTCATAGTTTTTCTCTTTTTACTTGTAAAATAAACATTTCTAAAATAAATGTATTTTTTGATTATTTTTCGGTTTTTGTCTGTTTTTAGTGCCTTAGTTTGCCCTTTTTTGCTATTTCCAGTGCCTTTTCCTGTCTACGTGACCCATTACACTACATGGTAGATTCTTTATTATTTTCATGGTAGAAAACGAACGCATAGTAAGATGATAGTTCTTGGCGCAAAAATATGTTTCATTGCAGCACTCCAACAATTTTAAGACTTTGCTATTGTTTCACATATGGTGGTCGGTATTCTGCTCATACCACTGACAGCGACATTCTATCATCAATGTATGAAGTTTACTTTTCCAATTGACCCTCTTTATTGTTTACAGCGAAATTAGAACAATTGAATGGTGGTTAGAATACATATTAAACAAACATGTAGGCTGACTTGAAAATCACGAAACGATGAACATAGCATAGTTCAGGTGATTACTTGAACTGTGAATATATCTTGGTTTTGATATATTTCCTTGATTCTCGTTTGAACTCCACAAACATGACCAGCCATATTTGCTACTCCATCATATCCCTGTCCAAAAAGCTTGCCCATAGGACATTTGTCAGAAGACTCATTATGGATTGGGAGAAAGCCAATGAGAAATTCGCGTAGTACTGGAGTTCGTGAATCCTAAAAGAGTTCGACGTGTCGTACACATAGTGAAATCTGGGTTCGAATCGTAACATCGGTTCACGGATCGAAAACCATACCAAAGAAAATTACGTGATACGTCAGCCGTATAAGCTGAATAGGATAAAGAGCACATTCATGTATGTGATAATCCGAACAATTTTTGCGTGACGAGTAATACG